CCATAGGGGTGATATAAAGTTGACATAGAATATAAAGTTAAACTTATTACATTTTTTTTTCTTTTAAGTCGAAAAAATTAATTATAACATTTTGTCAATTTTATCATAGAAAGAATGCGACGAACGAAGTGTTTAATTTTAAAAAAATTGGTGTTTTATTCCAAAAGCTACTGGTTCTTTCTAATCTGCTGGTTCTTTATTAATATCTCGATTAAGATAAAGTATGTCGAATGAAAAAGGGTTTATTAAAAAATATTATTTCTCATAAAAAAATTGTGTGGATCCATAAACTTTTCGATAAGTTATAGCATAATAAAGTTAAATATAATATAAATAATAAAATCGAGAATTTTCACACGAAAATAGCATTCAGTAGCCATTTTCACCGTGAAGACAAGTCCAGAGGTCAATTTTTTTTTTTCAAATTAAAGTACATTACATTAGCTTTAATTTAAGATAAGGGAATTTAACCCTCCTGTGGGCAGAAAAAAGGTCAAATTTACAAAAAAAAATATACCAAATGATAGGTAAAGACATCAAGCATCTATAAAAAAAAAATTTATATTCATATGTTCATTTTTGAAAAAGTTACGACAGTTTTTAGTAAAAAAAATTGAAAAAATTTCGAAAATTAGCGATTTTTAAATTTGTAATTTTTTTGGAGGTTTCCCCCATTTACAGGGAACGAGGGAAATTTTTTCAATTTTTGAGGGTAATGTCTTTGACTAGATACGGTTTGTGATCTTTTGACGTATCATTGAAAGAAATCGGTTCGGTGAGAGCTGAGAAAAATTGGTAACAGACACAAAAAAAAAAAACACATCATAGTAAAACCAATACCTTTTCAGTTTCGCATCGAAGCTAAAAAACTAAATGATAGGTAAAGATATGCATCTAAATAAAAAAAAATTATACTGATTTAGTCATTTTTGATAAAGTTATAACAGTTAACAAAGTTATAAGTTTTAGACACTGGACTACAAGGAACTTTCATCAGAAACAAAAATATACTTTTCTAAATCAATTTTTCGTGATGTTTTCAAATGTGCAATTAGACTTTTTCTATCACTTCTAACTTTTAATTTTATTTAAATATATTATAAAATAGTATTTACATATAAAAAAAAATAATTAAGAACAAAATAAAATTGTTTTAAATTAATACTGATTTTGATCATTAATATGTTAAAATTAAGGAAAATGACATATTTAACGTATTTTTTTAATCGTTTAAAGAAGATTTATGTGAATGTTTATAATAAAAAAAAATAATTTATTTTACCATAACTTTTAGCTTAATTGGCAAGTTTAAAATTGATATTATTAAATAGAAAATTTTATGAGAATTAAAAAAATTGTATCGTTAACATTAATATGCAGTCAGGAAGTATTATAATTACTATTTATAGTAAATTTATCCGAGTAGATCAATATTTTTTTGCATTTTTATCGTAATAGATAACTGAAATAAAAATAATAGTAATCATTACCTAGTAACTTTTGGTGTTTAAAAAGATTCATTGAAATGTTCAGAACTTAATTAATTTTAATGATTTGCTTTAACTAAATGAACCAATCAAAACAAAGTTGTTAAAAAAATTTACTCAATTGTGCGTATTATAAAATTTGATTACAATTGTAAAAATCCATTGTTAATTCAGGAAAAATTAACTATCATTTTTAGCTTCGATGCGAAGCTGAGAAGGTATTGGTTTTACTAAAATNTTTTAGCTTCGATGCGAAGCTGAGAAGGTATTGGTTTTACTAAAATGTGTTTTTTTTTTGTGTCTGTTACCACTTTTTCTCAGCTCTCACCGAACCGATTTCTTTTAATGATACGTCAAAAGATCACAAACCGTATCTAGTCGAAGACATTACCCTCAAAAATTGAAAAAAATTCCCTCGTTCCTCGTAAATGGGGGAAACCTCCAAAAAAATTACAAATTAAAAAATCGCTAATTTTCGAAATTTTTTTTACTTAAAATTGCTATAACTTTTTTAAAAATAACCAAATCAATATAATTTTTTTTTTATAGATACCTTAGGTATTCAACTATCATTTTATATATTTTTGTGAACATTTGACCCTTTACCTGCCCACAGGGGAGNTTCATTGGATATACTTTTTTTTTAAATCAGACTATTTCCCTATATATGGGGGGGCTTCAAATATAAAAAATGCATATAGAAAGTAGTACTTTTTCAACTTAAATTTTGAAAGTGTTCCGGAAAGTCTGACACTTTTATATATATCTTAAATTAAAGCTAATGTAATTTAGTTTATTATGCAAAAAAAAAATTTCGGACTTTATTTTATCTTCACGGTGAAAATGGCTATCAAATGCTATTATTGTGTGAAAATTCTCGATTTTATTATTTATATAATATTTAACTTTATAATGCTATAACTTATTGAAAAGTTTATGGATCCACACAATTTTTTTATGAGAAATAATATTTTTTAATAAACCCTTTTTCATTCGACATACTTTATCTTAATTAGGATATTAATAATGAACTAGCAGATCATATAGCTTTTGGAATAATCCACCAATTTTTTAAAATTAAACACTATCTAAAGATTTGCATCAAGGCGTTTTTTTTTTATAGTGATTTTAATCACTGTCAGATGTCATTATACTTGATCCATCTATGCCACGTCACCACTGTGATGGGTTTTTTTAGAAATTATTTATATAGCCACATGTTATCAAAAAATTTGGAATATTATAGTCTAGTAGTAGCACACAAAAATAGAGTAAAAAAATTATTAAATTATAAAGTAAAATGATTTAATTTTGTCCATATAGATAACATGGGATAAGTAACTGTTTCATTGATAAATTGGAATTTTTTTTCAATTTTTGAGGGTAATATCTTCAACTAGATATGAATTGTAGTCATTTGACGTATTGTTGAAAAAAGTAGAGTAAAAAGTTAGAGCAGAGAAAATAAATGATAGTCACAAAAAAATATCCTCTCAGCTTTGCATCGAAGCTAAAATCTAAAATATAGTAAAATAATTTTAATATGAATAAGAAATTTTTTCTCGCGAGTGGCGACTACAGTGATGGGATCCTTGATCTTTATTGAAGTTATTGAATCTAAATGAGTTGAAAATTTATTCTAACTTAAAAAGAATTAAGAAAGAAATGCAAAAAATTCCTTGACATAGGCGGATTGAAAGCCTTGTACTCCAAGTAAAAATTCGAATTTTTGAATAGTTTTTTAATAAATCATCCACTATTTCTCTATAATTTAAGCTTTTGAAGTTTCCTGAAAAATAATTAACAACCAAACGAAACGAGTTCTATGCTAAAGTCTCGTCTTTTGACAAAGTTAACCCAAAAGAAAGTACCTTTCTTTAAATTTTACATTAGACAAATGTGGAAACAAAGTTTTCAAATAAGTAAATAAATTTCCATTTTTACTTAAAGCCTTTACAACATTTTTAGAAAACCCAAGTTGACACGGTCCCACGGCGTTTCTCGATACATGGAGTACCGCGACCCGTGACACCTTTATCAGCCGTCGCCCTACTGCGTGTATATGGCAGTTTGACTGGCTAACACCGTGTAGAAAGTCCAGCAAGTGCCGCACGTCCATCTACGACCCGCCGCAAATATACGTTAAGTAATTTCCGTGACACCGCCCGTTCCTGTGCGACATCGCCGGTCTTGCTACTTCGTGTTGTATATCTGTTTTATAAATATTTATATATTTGCTTGTATAACTATTGGATCACATCAACGCACTTAGTGACTAAGTACACATTCTTTTTGTGATAATCTTTTCACCAATAAACGGCTCAAAGCCACTTTCTGGTGTTTACATACAACAGTGTTGTTTTAATTCTATCGTACTTACGACGTTAAGTCCTGTCAAAGTTTAATATGCAAGGTGATAGGATTATTCTATCTTTATATACGAGAGGATTAAATTTGACATTTTCTTTGCCCACAGTAAAGTTTACTCGATCTGGCCAATATTTCAATGAAAAATTTTGGTGACAATACAACTTGATAAAAGTTGTCCCGCGCAGTTTTTATGCAAAAAAATTAATTTTTGTCTATCAACATGTGTGACGGATGATGGGACTTAAATTTTTATTTTACTGTGTTCATTTTTACATTAGAGTTACTCTATGATTTTCACACGTAAATAATAATGCAAATATACTGATTATAACTCAATAGTTAGAAATTATAACTTTCAGTGTAACGTTATAATACATTATTAAGCAAGAAATAAGAGTTCACTAAGTATAAATTCATATTTGGTCAGTATAAAATTTGTGAAAGATATTACCAAGAAATAATACACGTAAACGAATGTATATATATACATTCGTTTATACGGATTATCAAACACAAACGTGTATAAGAATCGTAAAATAAACGGCATTTCAAATTTGTCAAAAAAAATCAAAAATCGCTTTATCATATATCATTTTTCTACCATTTCGTTAAAATTCAATTTCCAAAGAATCATTATTTATGACTAATCTTAAATTAATTTATTATGAGTAATTCTACGTTTACATTTAAATTGCTTATAAATATTTAATGTTAGTTAGTTATAGATTAAATATTTATTTTATTTCATTAACAGTCTTTTATTATACAAAACAATTATATTTATGTTATTAAAAGTTTTATATAAAGATAAAATTTTTTGAGAGAATAACAGTAACAGTTATTTTGAAAGTAACAGTTTGTAACAGTTATCAAGATTGATAACTAGTTGCCATAGCTATCAGAAACTGTTATGTTAAGAAGTGCAATAATTCATTTGAGAATGATAAAACAAAAGTTTAAAAAAATAAGAGATTGTAAAAATATTTTTTAAATAAACCACAAGCTCTGACACAGTATCAACTATAATACGGTATTAAATTATTGTATACAGTATTATACAAAAATATTATTTTCAGTTTAAAATATATTAACTATAAACAATGTTATCGTAAGAAGTTTTTTCAATAAATTAATGCCTGAAAAATTTAAAGTAATCAAATACTACGAATTGTGGCGTATTTAATTTTCGCTTTTTTTTATTATTGCTGCCCCGTATTATCATTTACAGTATTTGGTAACACTATTGTATCGCAAATCAATTTAATGCCGACATTTAAAATTATCATCCACCGTCATTCTTGACTTTCTTATAAACAATTTGTAATCATATTTAAAAAAAATACTATTGATACCAAATACTTAAAATAATCAGTAAACGATCTTTATTTTTCCTTAAAATATTATTATGTTTCAATACGTAATTATTAAAATATTAAATTATAAATCTAGTCTAGAGCCAGTCAATATTAGAAGTACAACGGTAATGTAGTAATATTATGACACAATAAGTATGCTCATATTCTAATGTTTCGTGTTTGGAAGGAATTTAAGAAATGATGGCCATTTCTTTAGTGCTGAAATATATGTTGATACTATTGTGGCTAATATGTACATTTAGTTCTATAATACTACTTTTCAGCAAGGGGTTATTATTGCATAGAGATGTATTAGTTAATAAATCGAGTTGTGATACTAATGTTCCATTCAACATAATTTCTCAAAGATGTACTGCAACACATAATAAAATAATTTTAATTCTAATTGATGCATTGAGATACGACTTCGTCACTCAATCAGATCAGAACAAACCATATACCAACAAAATAACTGTTCTCAAAGATGTATTATCCAGCTATCCAAATCAATCTAGAATGTACAAATTTATTGCTGATCCTCCTACAACTACAATGCAAAGATTGAATGCTTTAACAACTGGTAGTTTACCAACTTTCATTGATATAGGCTCAAATTTTGCATCAGAAGAAATTTCTGAAGACAATGTTATAGATCAGTTAGTAAACAATGGGAAAAAAATAGTATTCTTAGGAGATGACACTTGGGCAAAACTATTTCCAGGGAGGTTTTTTAGAAATTATTCTTATCCTAGTTTTAATGTCTGGGATTTAGATACTGTTGATTACAGTGTTAAAACAAATTTATATCCAGAACTATTAAAAGATGATTGGGATGTATTAATTGCTCATTTTCTTGGTGTTGATCATTGTGGCCATAGATATGGACCATATCATAAAGAAATGAATAGAAAGCTTAGTGAGATGAATATAATTTTAAAGTAAGTTATATTTAATTTTTTGATTTAATTATTACGTGTAAGAAAAAATATTGTTAATATATAATTGGTTGTTTTTTAACTTAAACTCAATAAAATAAAAAGTTATCAGAAGTATGTAGTAGAGTATACAGTAAGATTTAAAAGAACTAAGCCCTCTCATTAATTGTTTTAAATCAAGAATTTATGTAAAAATTTACCTAAATTGTGTTAAAACTTAACTCAAATTCTTAAAACTCAAGTCTTGAATTTCTTATATTTCAATATACATTGCATGAGTATTAGGTCCAACTTTTAATCAATCATAGTTTGAAAAGTTTTGTCTGTTGGTAATGTAATCCCATACTCATTTGTCTAGATAATAGATTCATTTAGAAGCTTCTTTATTATATTGCTTTATCTTCTCTCAAAATAAAGTTTATTTGTTTAACTAAGAATTTAACTTATACCCCCTTATGATACTTGGTACTTATATATTTTCAAAAATAAATATTCTTAGACAAAAACTTGTAAACAATTTAATACTTGGCTTCTTTAGATAAGTTTAACATTCTTCGCACCTAATAAGTTACTTATTTTGTAAAAAATATAATTGTATGTGTTAATTTTTGAATGCAGATTACCTAATTTATCTTAAATTGATATTTTTAGAGATATAATAAAAGAAATTCTGGAACAGAAAAATATAATTCTTTTTGTATTTGGTGATCATGGGATGACATCAAATGGTACGTATAAAATATAAAATAAACATATTATATTAACTAAAGTAAATAATTTATTATTGCCATTAGTTCTATTAATAACTACAATTATAAATGATTGAATTAATTTTCTCAATAAAAGATCTGAAAAGTATATGCAGGTATATATAATCTATGATATAGGTACCTTTAAAATATATTGATTACTTTCTTTTGAGTCTAAACAAATTAATTTTTTTATTTAAATTATTGATTTTTTTCTTCCATTTTTATTTTTTAATAAATATTTTTAAATTAAATAAATTACAGGTGATCATGGTGGGGAATCTGAAAATGAAATAACATCTGCTCTTTTTGTTTTATCATCATCTCAAGAATTGCATCCTATTAGTGAAAATAAAGTTCAACAAATTGATTTAGTTCCTACAGTAGCAGTATTAATGGGCATACCTATTCCTTTTTCAAATTTAGGATCCATTATAAAATCTGCTATACCACAAAGTATAAATATTGTTGATAGTATCTGGAAAAATGTAAAACAAATTAATGATTATCTTTCAACGTATTCATTACAAAATTTTGAACTTGATGAAAAACGTATGCATCTTATTAAAGACGCTTATGAAATGTTAAATTTTCAACGTGATACTACTTCATTTGTAAAAAGTTGTGAACATTTTATGGCTATAAGTAGAAGAACTTGTGAGGAAGTTTGGATTCACTTTGATGAAAAAGGAATATATAAGGGATTAGTTTTGATGTTTCTATCATTATACTTCAGTTTTCTCCTAGTTAGTTTTTCATTAAGTAATAATGAAATAATTTCTGACAATCAACTTTTTATTGTACTATGGTTAATTTTGCCCGTGTCACTTTTTACTTTATTACTGTATTTTTGTAAAATTATTCAAATTACCTTCGTTTTATTTATATTTGGTTTTGTTGGAACGACAGTTCTTGGTATCAGTTGTATAATGTGTTGGTCAACATTGACAGAAGATTTTCTTAGCACTAAATATCCAAAAATACCAATGCGGATATTTACAGTAATGACTACTTTGGGGTTTTTCTCCAACAGTTACATTGTTGAAGAACCATTTGTATTACATACAACATATGCTCTATTGTTATCGTATTTAGTGATGAGGTTCAAAATGGAAACTAAAAAAATTTTATTCCGAAACAAACTGAAAGGCAAACAGTTTTTATTTAAAAATTGGATAACATCTCTTAATTGCAAAGTAATTTTGTTAGCGATTATTTTATGTGCTTTACTAAGATTTTCACATTCTTATTGGCAATGCCGTGAAGAGCAAATATGGTGCTTTGGAAATGGAAATCAAATCAAATCTGGAACTTCCCTACTATCTATTGTTGTTAATTTAATATTCATAATAATCATTCATAAATTATTAAAGCATTCTGGTAATTTAACAGGGTGCTCATTAAATGTTTCCTTGTCATCTATTTTACCAAAAGTTTTCACAGTGCTTTTATCTGTCCATTGGATTTTAGAATCATTTCAAAATGGTAAAAACGCCATACCTTATATTGTCTATATACCAAGTATAATTCTGATTCTTCTAGCTATATTATTATTTACATTATTTTTAAGCCCTTTGCTTGTTCATTATGTGGATTTACAAAGAGAAAAAAATAATGAAGAAAAAAGTTTTCTTGAAATTTTATGGCAAATGACTAAACATTTATTAAAAATGGATCTTGGACCTTCCATTCAAGGATATCCAATTGTATATGGTCTAGCCACAGTATATAGCGCAACATTTTTGATATTATCTATAACTTTATGTACATTTGGAGGATTACTATTAGGGCATAAATATGCAGTTACTGTTGTATTAATGATTATTTCAATTTGGATAATGGCAATGGTAGTAGCAGTTGTAAGACATAATAGATGCTCGAAAATTGGTTAGTATTTCTTAATGAATATTTAATTTGTATTTATATACAAGATGAATCAGAAACCTCATTATAAGTTATTATAATTTGGTAACTGCTTAACTTTAGTTAATCATCTAATTTACTAGGAAGATTATTTAATCAAGTTTATTTTTATAAACAATAAATGTGTTTAGTGATTGACTTAAATAATTTATATACAATATCAGTCTGTTTTTTTTACTCCACATTGAAATACATTTTGTGCCTTTTGTTTTAGTCCTCTAAAACTGTTCAATGTGATTTTTAAAAAACTTATGGAACAGAATTTTTCAACTCCATAAGTTCTTTGAAAATGAGACAGTTATATTTGATTTTCATCAACTTAAACAAATTATACAAAATTAATTTTGTAGTGTGATTGTAGTTTTGTTTAATTAATGTGTGTAAAGCATGATGACCGATCACCAAACACATTTATGAGTAACAAAAATGAACTTTCTAGTGAATTTTAGATAGTTAATCTAGATTAAGCGGTTGCTGAGTTATTTTCTTTTTTTAATCAGATGAAGACAATTCAATTTTTTTTTTTTTTACAGATGAATTGTATCAAGTTAGTTGGTTGTATGTTTTATTATGGACGTTATCTTCTTCTTATTGGTTTTATGGAACAGGTCATAATGCATCTTTTACAGCAATACACTGGAATGCTGCATTTGTTGTACAATCAGACATTCAAAATAATACTTGGATCCCGGGTTTTTTTATTTTAGCTAATACATTTTTTTCAAATGCAGTTCATGCCTTTTTACTACCGGTATAAAAATTTCTTTACAATATAATTTTTTAAACATTTATTTATTATTTATGTTTATAGTTGCTTATGATAAGTCCATTTACAATATGTGGAGTTTGTTCTGGACGATCATTACCTCTTAAGAATAAAGATGAACAAACAATGGCAAGAGGAGAACTTTTATTAGCAGAAAATTCTAGAGAAATGATTTATGGTGCATTTAACCTGACAGTTAAATATATTTTAATTAATTGTTTTAGGGTATGATTTTACTAGTTTATCTATTCATAAATTATACTTTGATAATTTAATTGTTTTTGTTTAGGTATCAATGATAATGGTTGCTGCAACAATTCATTCTAGGCATTTAATGATGTGGAAAATTTTTGCTCCAAAACTAATATTTGAAGGAATTGCAGTTTTAATAATTACATTACCTTTTTCATTTTTGGGTTTTATTTTATTGTATAGGGTGACTCAAAAAATTAATGTACTATTTGAAAGAATAATAATACAACATTCAACATAAATTAACAAATTTTTACAAAATTTTCTAATTTATTAGTATGTTTGGTATTTTCTAATCATTATTCTTCATAAAATTATCTTTATATACCACTAGTTTTCTTTTTAGAGTTATACATATTGATGTATAATTCTTTTGCATTTTTTCTATTAATATTGTTAGATATAAATTTTTTTTTTTCTATAAATAATTATAACTTTCCTTTAAAATATATTTGCTGGTCTTTGTTTATTCTTGTAAAACTATAGATGTTTTTTTATATAAAATTTATACATTAATTTAAGAGTGATTATTTTAGTGTTATAATTTAATTTTTTTTTAAAGTATCTAGTCAGTAAAGTATTTAATAAAACATTTTTTCATGTGTAAAATGTATAAACATTTTTATTTAATGGAATTTTTTTGTTAAGTTTATGTCTATAATGTTATAAATATTACTGGTAAAAACATTTACTTAAACTATACCATATTCTATAATAAACAATAAATATTATTTATTTAAACCATGGTCAATTGAAATTAACTAAGGTTAAAATAAGTAAATTGATTGGATCCTAAAGAAATTGAATTACTTGCAAAAAAAAAAAATTGTTAAAAATAATTTTAATAAACTGAATTATGATATTTAGAGCCCTCGTTTCTATTCTACTCCTGAGCACTATTACTATACTACATTACGGTAATAGTGTAGACATATACCTTTTTGAATGTTAATATTATATAATTGATATTATATAATAAATAGATATATAAAATACAATACGAATAATAAGCATAGACATTAATTAAAAAAAATTGAACTACATTGAATTTTCTTCAGTTTTGTTTTCTTTTATATACATTCATAGTAAAATGAATAAGAAGTATGCTCGATCAAATTAGTGCGCATGATTGGCCTAGGAGCAAAATATGCAGCAAACAATAAAGTCAACGTGACGTAACACGTAAATACGTTACAATTTTTTTCAATGATATGTCAAATGATTACAATTCGTAGTTCAGTGTAAAGTTCCTTGTAGTCCAGTGTATAAAACTTATAACTTTGTTTTAAGTAACAAACATTTTTTATTGAAAAGTATTGCATCAAGCCCTTTAAATTATTATACGCGTTTAACTACGGGTCATTCCACGTGAAATCACCTAACGTGTGTGCTGGTATAGTTCAGAAATTTATATCATAGACTTCTTAAAGGTCATTGATAAAAAAAATAATTTTTTTTTTTTTATTATTATTTTTTTACCAGATAGCGCATTTTTTATAATTAAAAACATGAAAAAACAGCCTATGTTCTAGAGCCTATAACTTCACATCCAAATAAGCTATCATTGTGGAGCTAGCACTGTTTTACTCATATTAAATAGTACTTCAATTTCATTCTTAAGTTTATGAATTTTGAATTTTTTTGAACATCGAAATTTTGATTTAAATTTTGCAGTATTTTAATAGCAAAATTTGAAGGTCAAAAAATTTTTTAATTAAAATTTTTTTTTCTTTTTAGAAACTTTTAGTTATGTTCTTTTAACCCATATCATATTTGAATCGGTTTATAATTTTTTTTGTATCGTTTTACGGTCTTGAACACGCGTGGTTTGCTGAAAATAGCCAACTTTATCATCTCATTACACAAAAGTGACTGAACGAATTTTTTTCAAATTTACATAGTACTTACCTTTAGGCAATTAAAACGTCTGGTGAAAATTTGATGATGGAGAAATAATTTTAACGCCACTTATAGAACTTACAAAATTTACAATTTGCGTATTATGGAAAATCCACAAACTACGTAATTTTCAACATTTTATTTTTATTTTTTGCATTTATTCTGCACGAAAATAAAATACTACATACCATTGTAAGCAACTATTTTTAAAGTCGTAATTTTATCAAATATTTTGTATTTTAGATAATTTTATTATTCTAAAAGTATAATAAAATGTGTTATATTTTTTAGTGTAATAGAGAATAATTTTTATTATATATTTCATTTTAATTTATTCTAAAATATAATTTAATTCTATTTATACATACATATAAGTTTTATTTATGTTTATATTATACCTAATTATTTTGTTCTTATAATTTACAACATTTTTATAGTATTGGATTTGGTGGACTTTGAAGTTATCTTATAATTCAGAGAATTTCCATTTTCAGGTATAAAACTGTGATGTTGACGAATAGCAGGACATTTTTTTGCAGTTTTATACCGCTCACCTAAGTGGTGTTCAAGTGAAAGTACCTCTAAAGCAGTTATATATAAGAACTCAATTCCTTTTATATTTAATTTACAATAATCAAACATTGCTCTTGGCGTAAGAATATGATTATTCGAAGTTCTTTGCAAACTAGCTTTGTAGAACAATCGCTTAACTGTACCACCTATACCATCGCATGGACTCTTACCGTGTGCGGTCGCAAAAAAATTCCATTCTGCTTCTAAGCCAAAATCTGCTGTGTGATAACATAGATTGGCCATATTTTTATAATTTTTATATTGGCTGCTAGCTCCGTCAGAAAAGTAGTGAATTTTTATTATATTTGGCATGAAATCTTTTATTTTTTTAATTAAGTGAGATTGATAAACATAAACCGCATCTGTATTATGTATCAAATGATCACTAATAATACAATAATTTTTTGTTTGTAAAGAATCAATTGCATTAGATTTATAATAAATTGTATAAGGATGTAAAGTTGCTTGAGAATTTACCCAGTGGTAGCTTTGAATTTCATCCTGGATCACGAACGTGAAATTCTCAGCAAAGTCGCCTAACACAATACACTCATTTACAGCAAAAGAGTTTTTCTTTTCGCGTAAGTACGTAGACTGAGCTTTTGAAATGAAATGGTGTTTTTTAACAATAGGTAGCTGTTCAACTAATTTTTCCAAAAATTCTGCTCTATTTTGAGTAATTTTGACAAGTGTTGTACGATCTGTGTGCACCCACTGACTATATACTATTTGATCAGTTATCGTGGTAGTATCTAAATTAAGCATTTGACGTTTGAGATTTTCAGGTCCAGGGCATCGATTACAATCATTGAGCATACATATTTCGTTATTAATATCACAGACAATACTTTTTATTAAATCGACTAAGTCTAAATTTAATTTAGCCCCTTCAACCATAAGTTTTATATTTTAATGGATCACGCACACGCATACGGAATGTGTACCACTTGCTCCAGCTAAAATACACCATTTAGGTCTTAATTCAGCAAATTTAGAAAAACCAATTTTATCATTAGGATTTTCCGTTTTATAATTTATATATAATTCTTTTAAGTTACACAAAATCAATCTTTTTTGTTTAGTAATTTTTTTACCATCAGCATCTTTTATATTAATGACGTCTTTCATACCGGGACATACCCTGCTATAATCGTCATTATGATAAAAGTCATCAACATTTTTTACTACATTTGAATCAATTACTCGACCAAGTTTTTGAACGACAATGTCAGGTAAAACACCATGAACATCGACTAATTTTTTTACCTTTTTCACAAAGTATTCTGTGGCACCAAACTCTTCACAAATTTTTGAAACTGACCAAGATTTAGGCAACAGACTTAAAATTCTTATGTGTTGGCTAGTTTCATTGGTTTCATTAAATTTTATTTTTAAGTTATTTATTAAACTTTCATACTCTTTAACGACATAATTACCGTTAGAAATAAAATGTGTGCTATTAGAAGAAGATGAAGGAATTTCATAAACCGCGAAAAGTTTTTTTTTTACTACAGTACTTATAGCTTCAGCTTTTTTTAGCTTCGATGCGAAGCTGAGAAGGTATTAATTTTACTATGATGTGTTTTTTTTTTTTTTTTTTTTTTTTTTTTT